TTTTTTTGTCTGCATACAGTGCTTATGTACAGTACCTGCATAGAGGGTGTGTAAAGGCTGGCGTAAAGTTTTGCAAATTAGATATTGCCGAGGGCAGTCAAGTGGGATATATAAAGACTGGAGCAAGCAAACACAATGTTATATGGCAAAGATGAAGATCGAGAAATAGCTATTAGTGTCAGCAGAGGTAAGTATGTTTGGAAATACATTTTCAGTTTAGGAAAATGACAACTTTCCTAAAAATGAGCAAAATTTAAATAGAGTTCATTCTTCAACAAAATTGTTGTAAGGCAGGGGAAGTGGATTGGAAGTGAGGATGTGTAGCAATCAAGTTGAGAAACTTAGAAATGTCAAAGCAGTTGCATCACTTCTTGTTCAAAGCAGCCCATTTCACAGTAGAGATGTAGTCAAGATTTCTACTGTCTGAATTTGGTACATTTAGTGCATTAAATTAATAATAATTTTAAATTTTGCCTCTACAGAAAACTGTATTCTACATCAAGAGGTATGAAATATCAGAAAAAATATTTTAATTATGAAATAATTCTCTAATCCAGGCTTAAGCACTTATTGTAACCGTAGTATAAACTAGAAGTTAAAGGGTGGGAATCAGAAAAGAGTGGGAAACTTAAACAGCAGCAATATCTTTATTCTCTGCATTGTAGCTGATTATTTTATTACTGTATATTTTGGTTATTATGGAAAAACAAGTCAAAATGATGAAAATTTTATTTACAATCTTTGACTCGTAGAATTTTGTTCCGGCATGAGTTGTTCAAACTCAGCTATTTACAATAGCTACTGCAGTAACTATATAGGGGTTATTGTATAAAATATTTTTATATTTCAATATAAAGTTTAATATGAATTTGGTTTGCTTTTGTATACTAAATAAACATGTCAAGTTTGGTCTGGATTGGTCAACTCATTTAGGAGGAGATGCATCCACTGAAAGACAGTTTTCCTTGATATTGGATAGTTACCACATCAGTATGGCTTAATATATATATATATATGTATATAGCATATATGTGAAGAACATGTGTATTCCAGTTTTTATACTCAGCTCTGCCTTGCTTTTTTAGCCAAGGATGGATAAATTGCTTTAATTCAAGGTACTTATTCTTAAACAGTTAACATGGAAGATAAAACACATTTAGCTAACTATGAATATAAAGGAGGAAATCAAGGAAAAATGTCATAAGTTTAAAAGTTTAAATTGACATATAAAATACAGGTAACAAGGTTTTTGGAGGAATACAAGATGGTTGAGCTTTGAAGTTTTTGTCTCATCTGCCTTTACAAGAGAATATGATAGCAATATTAAAGATCCTGAGCATTTTTTGGGAAATATTGAAATTAACATAAACATCTATTCATTAATCTCTTCTTGATAAGTAGAAAGACTGAGTGGTTAGAAATAAAAGTACCTAGATCAGACAATGTTTTCCAAATTTTAAAGAGGATCGAAGCTCAGATATGTGAACCTCATGTTTTTTGGTAGCCCAGTAGATAGAGGGCAGGTGCACAAGGATTAGAGAGTTTATAATGTTACTTCTATTTTTAAAGGGTGTGATGATATTTTCCCTGGAAATTAAAAGCTCATTTGTCTTATTTCTGTAATGGAAAAAATTCTAGAGTCTGATAAAAGTAGCCTTATAAAATCATTTAATGAAATAGGAGAAATGAAAGAGAGCAAACATGGATTCATTAAAAGGAAATCTTGTCTTTCCAAATCTGTTAACTTTTTTTGTGGAAGTTGTTTATCTGGATGATAGAAAGGATGGACTTAGTGTATTGAATTTTTCAAAAATATTTTTAATGTACTACACTAAAGATTAGCTATGAAAACCATGTCTTTAGTGGTTACGTAAAGACTATTCAATTCACAGTAAGGTGACCAAGTGACTGAAATCAGAAAGTTGTTATTAATGGAGTCCATTCAAAGAGAACCTGGTGCGCCTCAGGGTATCAGTGTTGAGCCTCTGCTTTTTATTATTTAAATTAATGATACTGATAGGGTCATAATTACTGAATTAAGAAAATTTGCTGATGACATTAAACTGTTGAGTATTTCTAATTGTACGAAAATATTTAGGCACTACAAAATGACGTAGTTCAAATGATAAGTTGGATAAGTAGTTGGCAAATGACTTTTAACTACAGTGAATACAAGATAATATGTTTGAGTTCTTATAATTTGCATCACATGTTTAATATAGATGGGAATTCACTCAGTAGTATCATTACAGGAAAAGACATTGTGCTAGATAAGTAACTCAAACAATTGGAAGAGTGTTACTAGAAGTAAAACTAATAGAATTTTGGGATTTATTTATAGACATTTATTACAAGAGGTAATTATTTATCTCTGTACAAATCACTAGATACTTCTGTATCTAAGCTGGGATATTGACTTATTGGAGAATTCAGAGAAGGGCTGTTATTGTTAAGATGGTTCTGGGATGAGAGTGAGTTAAGATTTTTTGTTTTTTTTTTAGAGAAAGAAAGGGTGAGAGATGATTTTATTGAAGTTTACAAGGTTATCTGGGAAATTGATAGAATAAGGGCCTTTGATTATTTTGTGCTGTATCTGAAGGCAGTAGGAGAGGATAGAACTTTAAGAGTTGGAAAAGATAGGCTAGGCTTCAGTTAAGACAGTTTTATTTCTTAATAGAGTGATTAATGTATAAAATAAGTAACCATCAACAGTAGGGGGAATAGATGTTTTCCTGAAAAATAAATTTTAACATTTATCAGGAGTTAGTGTACAGCCTTGAAGGACCAAATGTTATTTGTTGTCTGTTATGTTTTTGTTTTTTCTTGTTAAGCATATATTTTTTGGGTTCCTGTTACATTATATATGTTGTACAAGCTACTTGTTAAGAAAACTTCCACCAAAATGTTGAATGCTAAGTTACAGAAAGTTATACTGTGTAAAGTAATATAGAGAATACATTATAACACAACAATAAGTGGTGTAATTTTTCTGCATGTGATGATAATAGGTACAGAGAATAGATTGAACACAAGGGTTATTGTAAGAGTCCATGAGTGAAAGCAAAGAAGAATATTATAATACATAAGTTTAATTTAAGAACTTACCAATTTATAAACAAAGTGACATTTACGTACCTTTGATTGTAAACACTAAGTAGTTTGTATTACATTCTTTAAGTAACTAAATTATGCTGGTTTTGAAAAGAAAAGAGAAATTGTGAGACTATAGCAAGTTTTATTTTAATTTACTAAGAATATGAGTAGAAATGTAATTGTTGATTATAGGCTCTAAAGTTAGGTTTGATTTTATGAAATAACCATTTCAAAGTAGAAATTGCTCATATTGAATATTATTCCATGATTTTATTAGGCATATAAAAGGTTTCAGGTGTTCTAAGTGTGTGTGTTTTTAATTACTTGGAGATGCAAGTCAAGCATGTGATGTGATTGATTGCTGTGTTTAACACATGTAATTACGAGATCTTTTCTTAAGAAGTGAAACATTTGGTTTTAGCTTTCTTGTCAAAGAACACATACAGTTTGAAGATTTTTTTAAGATTTTGGGACAGGAAATAGTTGTCATAAATGCAGTATCATGTTTTATAATTAACTGCACAACTGTATCATTTATTTGTTTTTTTATAAATGATTTTCTACCATTGTAGTGAAAATACAATACACATGTAAGCACTTATTTTTGTAATTGTCTTGCATAATAATTCATGTTTGTTTTTTAGATGTTACTTAACTGTTCTTATTGCTAAAACTAGGACCACATATTGTAGTAAAATTAATCTTGTTAGCAGACATTGTTTAAGCTCAGGCTTGAATTTTTTTTACAGACTAGAAAATGATTTTTTTATTCAGTATATGGTGATTTCTTCTTTTTAACATGCTGAAAACAGGGTACAGTTTTTTGAGTATCATTCTTAAGAAGATCTCTGCATGAGATTTACAATGAAATGTATTTATATTGGTTTCTTATTAATTAACTGATATTGCCGTTTTTTAATTTTATTCTGCAGCTAAACATGATTTAGAATTATAAGTAGATTTAAAACAGTAATGAGAGCATACTGTTAAATTTAGTAGCTTATAGTTGAACAGATGTTAACAACTGGAGGGAGCTGAACACAGGAAGTTGATCTCATTGGCTTTCATGAAAGCTGGTGACATGACAACAATTTCCTGTAAGAGATCTTGAAGCTGGTGACATCTGTTGTTTTTGTAAAGAAACAATATGCTGTAGAATCCTGCATCTGCACTTTTAACCTTGTCTAGTGGCTGATAAACACGTGTAAAATACATGTACATAGACTTCGGTAATGAATTGAGTACGGTATTTGAATAACTTTGTAGGCTTGGTTCTTTATTGTTGTACACACAGACTTGGGGTTCCCAACAGAATATTTTCTCAAAGTTAATATGTAAATGAGAAACTCTAAAAATGTAAAAATCATGTAAAAATCTTTTTTTTTTTTCTTGCTCATTCTTTTCATTAGTTTTGGCATTGCGGGTTTGAAAAAATTAAATAACTTACTTTAAATCATGATTACAAAACAGACTTGACAGAAATAAAGGTTGAAAATGGAGATAATCTAGATTTTAAACAGGATTAGTCAAAATTGATAGTTGTGTTAATTGTAATAGGGATTGACCAATTTTAAATAAAGATACATTGAAAACCGGACTTCCTGCAAGTGGATAACAGTTGCTTTACTTTCTTTTTCATACCTGTGGTCAAGTAACTTTTTTTTTTATACATGTAGATTTTGACAGTAGTTGTGTTTTACTTGGATTTCATACATTAAAAACATGATTTAGATAGAGCTGCAGTGATGAAGGTAAAATACACATATATTACTTGATAATCATTATCAAGTTAACAACATAATGAAGTCATTTATGTAATTTTTTCTTCAGAATAACTAACTTGTTTTAAACAATCTACTTATAAGAAATAAATTTTATGGTTAAAAACCTTGAATCTTTTGTTTCAGGTTCTCACGGCAAGTTTAGGGACCTTGTTGGGATGTCAGAATGTAGAAAAAGGCCTTCAAGAACATCGAAGTACCCAGGATCTGTGTTTTGATGATTTTTTGTTTTATCTTCAAAAGGAACTTTTTTCCTTTCTCCTTGGATCAGTAGATTATAAAACTCTTCAACGCTATCATGATCAAATAGAAGAAGTGTGTTGGCTTGTGTGTAAAAAAAAGTTTTTGCGACGAGATTATGTTGCTTTCCCAGACAATTGTGTCTTTCAATTTTTTCGAGTGTTTTGTTTGCTTGGGGAACTACATCAAGAACCCAAAAAGCCTGTAGAAGTTTTATTGGCAGCAGAAGAGGTGGAACATGTGGCAATGATGTTTAATCATGCATTGGGTCAGAATTGGGATTCTGCTGACTTTCAAGGAATAGCAGAAGTGATTCCACTTTTCAGGTTTCAAGTGTTTATTGCATTGCTTGAATCACGTTACACACAAAGTGTTGAAGTGAAGGGTTTAATTGAAGCTACCAAGGAAGTGTTTGACATTTTTGTCAATGATGTTCTGAGAAAGGTAATTATTCTTAAGCTTTACATTTACCAAAAACACAAAAAAATAGTGAAAATACTCATAAGATACTTTACAAACGTATTTAAAATTTATTTGTTCAAAACTTGACTTTTTGTTTTCTAAAGAAAAGCTATTTTACTTGCAGGGGTCACTTCGAAAAAGAATAGCTCGCTTAGGAATTTGGCGAGAACTGTGGTTTGTGCTCCAGCCTCATACTCTCACGTACTACAGTAATAAGGAAGAAGGAGATAAAAGAGGTGAAATGCAGCTCACAACGAAGTCAAGAGTTGAGGTAGGCAAGTTTTTTCATATATTATTAAATTATTTGAAGCAGAACCAAATCCAGTGATCTTGTGAATTTGAAGAGCATCCTAGTTGCATTCAAGTTTTATATGTAAGTGGGGTATTAAACTGGACCTACCAAAATTATCTTTTATTTCAAAGAATTATTACTTTGATTATTTAAGACTATTTAGTGGTTGATCTTCTTTTGGGTTTGAAGATAATACCTGAAGAAGGTTTGTGACTAAATATAGGGTGAAGCAATAAAAAAAGTTTAGAATAAAATTGTAATGGGACACAATTGTTACTAAGTGGTTAAGTGCCAGCATAAACACTGGTAAGAGAGCCAGAAACAATCACAAAGTTTACACCATTTAAGATGCATCTGATCACATATTCCCAACATCAAAATACACAAATATTTTAATGTAAAACATCAGAATTTTAGATTTTATCCTTTATTATCTACTAACTGTAGTAACATTTTAATGTTTTGTACAATGCATATGGGATGAGTTTAAGATTCTTGCTGGTAAACGCCTAGTGTGTTATGTATCTCCTGATGGTTATAACTTGTAAATAGATTTAATTACCTCTATTTATTATTTAGAGCTTTTATAATTATTTTGTAAGTGGTTATTTAGAATATTTGTGCAGTGTTTATAGCTTTTTATTATTTCATTAAAACCATGTAATACAAATTTCTCTTTTGAACATGGTTGATAAAGACTCTACCTTCATCACCAAGTGGTAAAGGATTCAGGTTTTCAGTCATGAGTGGTGACAAAATTCTTGATCTTTCAGCACCAGATCACAAAAACAAGTTACAGTGGATCATAGGTAAGACCAAAAAGTGTTCAGATGCATTACAAGTTAAGATCATAAAAGTGTATTATGTTGGAATGTTAGTATGACCAGAAACAAGGAAGTGTTCAGCTGATTTATACAGAGGTTGAGTACATTATATTAAAATTATTTTTTGAACTTCACCATGTCATTACAATCCATCTCATCACATTCAGTCATGCTCTGTCCGATGACACCATGCATCTTGATAATAACCCTGCAGTGTAGTTTCCATTTCAAAAGGCTTCATTGTAAAGTTGTCATATCCAAAGCACACCACCACCACCTGCTTGTCTTCCATAGGCCATCTACTGTATGAGGACAATGGTTTCCCAGTGCCATTTCAACAGTGTGATTGCATCTGGTGACTTGACTGGCATGTCTTTGTATGGAATAGCATGAATACCTATTTCATTTTCTAGCTGCTTGAGGTATGTGATGGTTAAATACATATATATCGTGGAAGCATCTTGTGTACCTGTGGCTTGTATCCTTTTTTTTTTTTTATAGAGATCTGTTTTTATTATGATGTTGCCCTTACTCTTGCATGGTGCACATACATGACTTTCACCACTGATCTTTGTGTTTGTGGATTCTCACCTGTTACAAGACACCATACTTTACATTCTGCAGCTGTGGTATGATTTATTTGTTTCATGTCTCTTTCTAGATGTTCCTGATGTTCCAAATTATTCCAATTTCCATTTTTTTTCAATTCCCAATCTGAACACATCTCTATAGTCTGAGTGTATGAATGCTTTGCATTTAAAAGGCTGTTACATATTCTTCTCAAAAGAACCCAGTTTTCAGTGCCATCACACTACCTACAAATGCAAAACGATGTCAAAATGTAGTTCTGATACACATCATTCACCGAGACTTTATATCAGCTGTGGTTGTCACATATTTTGCAAATTTACATATTCAAAATCATTTCAATATAATGTTCCCAATCTCTATATGATATCACAAGAGAATTTTTCTGAATAGATAAAATCATAAAATAGTATGTGGTTAGCTGCATTAGGCATAGAATTGGAAAATGATAAATGAGATCATTACATAGTGTCTTGCTGCTCTTGCCATGTATTTAGTGTTAATATTTTCTGAAAATGAATAAGCAAACATTGTAATTATAAACTAATTAAAATTTAAAATGAAACAGACACCACATTAATATTAATTTAATCAGGTATGTTAAATCTAATATTACTTAGTACAGTATAATATGAGAGGCTGATAAGTAAAGTTGAAAATAAGATTAATAACTATTGTGTTTGTAATTATTTGTTCAATGATTTTCTTATTGCTATAAAACTTTGGAGCTGAAACAGACAAGAATAACCACAACTTTTTAGGTTTATTACAGCATTATGGTAATGTAAACATTTGCAGCGATATTATTACTGCCTTAGTATATATATATTCTTTAAGAACTTCATGTGAAGCTTGATTGTGGAATTCAGTGATATAACCCTAGCTTCTGGATTGGTTGAAAGCTCTTTGTCGCGAGTTTCAGGGTATTTCCATGCTTCAATACCATTTATAGTATTTGGTACTGAACGTGCTGAGTTTGCAAACATTATTATAGCTTTAAACAGTGAAGCATTTTATGTAAGACTACACAAAAACTAAACCCTTTCTAATATTCCTAGGTTTTTTCATTCACACAGTGAAAATACTTAGCCAAATTTCATGAAACTTAGTACAAACTTTCTAAGTAATATCTAGTTTCTGCATAAAATACATACAAGTTGATTTAATATTTCTGTCATTTTCAATGTTTGAAACTTACAAATGTTGTAGTGAAGTGCTATTTGAAAGAACATTAAAAATATTTCCTTTCATTTCAGAATTTCAGTTTTTAAATATTGATCAGAAAGTTTCATTGTACACACACACACACATATATTCAGTCAGTTTTAACTTGTTTGATATTCATAAAGATGTTTCTTTTGATATTTTGTCAATTAAACCATTTACCACTTTTGACTAGAAATCATAAGCACAGCAATAACTGATAAAGATGTAATTAATTATACTTTATAGAATTAGACTAGTGTATAATAATAGTATTTCCAATACAATATTTTACCTCCAAAATAGCTTTTCATGACTATCACTGCCCTCTATAAGGGCAAACTTTCAGTGCACACCACTAGACTTCCACCTCTCACTTCTACATATCCACATGTAGCAGCTCTCTACCTATAGAAGTTCGACACCACTCCTATCGTAACCAGTGCCCTCTTCACATCTGCATTTGTTAATCGCTTCTCGATTGGCAGTAGTACTGTACAGACACAGATGTGCTGGTTTTTGCTCCCAGATTTGTCAACATTTTCCATTATACTACTGACTTAGTTTTTCTTTACTATTTATTTAAATTTTTGCATTCTCGTATTGTAAAAGGTTGAATTTTTTTTTCAAACTTTTCTTACATTTTCAGGGGCCTTTTGCTATTGTATTGTGGATCCCACTTTGTGATAAGTGGTGCCTGACCAGGTATACTTTTTTTTTCTTTTGAAAATTGCATTGTCCATCCTGTGACCATGCTTGATGTCAATTATGTTGTAGCCCTTCCCACCACAACCCTGATGTACAATTCCAGATGCTGCCATGTTTTGGTTGTATGTCTCCATTTTATTGTTATCTATGACTAAACAGTTATGTTGCAGGTTTTGGTTATGCACATCGTAGAGATGGGGTGTTCCATAAGACTCCTAGTAGATCTCTCTACTGGTTTTTGCTTCATAAATATGTTTGTCCTGGACTGTACACTCATGGACTAACATGAGCATAGCAGACATAGATTACCCATCTTTGATGCTTCATGGCATTGAGACTTTTCCTACCATAGACCTAATGTAGAATTCCAGATACCACCAGGTTTTGGTTGATTGACTCCGTCAACATGGTAGCTCTGTTTTTCAAAATAGTGTATTGCAATCCCTTGTTGCACTGTCTCTGGTGATGCAGTCCTCTTGACTCTTTTCTTCTAATCGAGTATGGGTGTCCTTACCACTTACCAGTTCCTAGTTACTGTGGTGGTGAAAAATGGAGGTCTGTCCACCTGAGTGATGAATCATACCATTCAGTTAAGAGTAGGGCAGTCACATTCTGCAGGTGTTACTGGTATATTGTACTTCCTACTGAAGACTTGATGTACAATTCCAGATGCTGCCAGTTTTTGGTTGTAGCACTATGCTGTATTCCTGTATATATGTATCTGACTGATTGTTTTTCCTACAGTGGCATTCCTCTTTCCTACCATCCTCCGGATGTATATTTGTAGTGGGTCTGGTTTTGGTTGAAGATGGCCCGGTCATGATTGGTATCATGTGTAGATGGTGTGATGCCCTTTCTACCACAGATCTGATGTACAATTCCAGATGCTTCCAGGTTTTGCGTTGGAGATGCACCCCATTTTTGCGGTCCCTCTTCCTACCAACTGCTGTATATCAGTTCCTGGTGGTTCTGGTGTTGGTTGTAGCTAGATGCAGCATGTTTTCCTGCTTGTGTACAGCCAGATATCCTCCTCTTATCATGGACTAGATGTACCATACCCATTGCTGTCAGGTTTTGGACTAGAGATGTCACCCTGCCAGGGCTTTCTACCATCTGCTGGACACCAGTTCCTGGTGGATATTGTGTAGGAAATACATGCAAATGGAAATGGATTTTGGTACAGAAGCTCGTCCTCTCTACCAATTCCCATCTCGAGGTGAAAGAGGTAGGTGATCCTTTACCTACCACAGATCTGATGTACCATTCCAGATACCACCTGGTGCTGAATGAGGTTGAACTACTGCTAGGGTCTGTCATGTCCTAGCCATTCAACACCCAGGAGTCCCATTCGTTTGTCATACATATCCTGGGATTCTTTCATGTTTTTCTGCCTTTTATGTTTGTGACACTCTCATAAAAGAGCAAAGAGTATATCTGGATCAGATGTGGTGTGGTTTCCTGCTGAGGTGTGATGTTTTCTCTTTTAGTTCAACACCTCCTAGTCTCTATGGGTACTTCCTAAAGAGATATCCTTTTTTTTTATCAGCCCTCTATCAAAGCCATGTGGGATTCTAGCTATTTTGTGAGCGGAGGTAAGATATTGTATTGGAAGCTAGCATTTACATGCACTGAAATTTGTTTTCAATAGATACTTACCTCCTCTCACATTTCTCACCCAGTCTCTCCACTTTCGATGATATATGTTGTAGGTCATCTGCCAAACTTGGAGTGATTAACAAGTGCAGATGTGAAGAGGGAGGTGGTTATGCTAGGAGTAGTTTTGTGCTCCCATTGGTGGAAGCTGCTTCATGATCATTTGTATGTGCATATGCAGAAGTGGTAGGTAGAAGGCTAGTGACGTGCATTGTAAATTTGCTCCAATTGAGGACAATGCTAGTCGAGAAAAGCTATTTTTGTTAAAAATACATTTTCAGTGTAGAAAAATGCTAACTTCAACTACACTGTATTTGTCACATCCATTGCTGACAATGCCTTTGTCTTGTCATAGAAGAAAATTACTATAGCATTTTAAAAAAATGTGACACAAGGATATTATCAGTAACAAAAATACTTTATAAAGAAACATTTTGCATTAGAATCCTTTTTTCTCTGCTATGCTAGCTCAGGGTAGCTAGAATATTAATAAACCTTAGATTGATTCTACAACCATCTTATTTGCTCTATAGTGGCATTGATAAATTAGAACCTCTGCTATCTAGCCTTTTTTTAGCCATCTAGCTATAGCTATGTTAAAAGCCAAGCTTCATTAGTAAATGTTCAGGCCATGTGCTGTGGCATCATAAAAGATGGCAACCAATGCCTGGAGTGATAAAACCACTGACAGGAAAAGAAAATCAAGATATGAATATTTCCAAAGGATGATAGTTTCATAGCAAGTATAATCCTATACTTTCAGATGAGCATAAAATTTATAAAAAAAATTATGTTGGTTACAGGCAAGACCCTTTGGAGCTGTGCAGAAATAAACTTTTAAATATCTTTTTTAAATTTTTCCTTTGTAAAATACACTGAATAAATAAATAATGGTAAGATACCAATTTTAATATATTTTTGAGTAATAAATTGTGAAATAGAGTTAGAATTATATGTTTTATTTACTGATAAATCTTATGAAAATGACTGTTTTGTTATCTAATATGACTTTTTATATTTTTTTAGATACCATATACTTGTATTGATTTTAAATGACTTATGGTCAGATGTTTTATGCTACAAAAAAGTGTTTGTATGAAAAAAACTGTTTGGGTGATGACAGATTTATCTGTTGTAAAAGTAGCATGTAATTTTGCATTGAGTTTGATGTACATTAAATATTCTAGATTTTTAGTAGAAAATAACCTTTGGCAAAAATGATTCTTTCATAAAAAAAATACAAAATTTATATAATTCTTACTTAACATTCACATTGTATTATTTTCAGCTCTTCAAACTGCTTTTCAGTTTTCTCAGGCTTCTGAGTCTTACCAGCGCCACCTAGCTAACAAAAGAAAAAGTGACAGATTATTGGCTAAAGCCAGAAAGGAAGAAGAGGAAGCTAATCGACTTCAACAGCAACAGCAGCTGGAATACTTAACAAAAGTGAGAACTGATCTGTTATTTTTATACCACAGGCTGTTTCTGTATGAAGTTTACATGATTTGTTGATTAGCTCTGTGAAGATAACAAAGTAGTTAACCCTATCGTGATGGGTCACATGCCATCGTTTTTGTTGACTGGTATTCAAAATTTTATTGAACTACTATTTTATGAATCTACATCAATAAGTTTGGTATCAAATTGTAGATTATAATTCAAATTGTAGATTATAATTCAAATTTTAATATTATATTTTAGTTAATTTTTAAATTAAAAGTAAATATTGAAAAACACAGCTTAACATCAATTTTTGTGTGTCATGCAGCACTGGTTCAAATTAGATGTTTGTGATGTCAATATACAAAATCTACGGTTTCGTACGAATTAGGAACTCAAATTACCGATATTGACAAGCTAGTCTACAAAATAAGAACCTCTTATCTTCTCTATTTGCTAAGATATTGCTCATACTGAATCAATCACAATGGTCCCCCACCCACCTCTTTCCACTTTTAGAAACACTTCCTTATATACACTTACTTCTATATATGATATTAATAACCAATCAAAAGCTCAGAATGTCCTCACCTCTTTCCATTTGTGGAAACACTTCCTTATATACATTTACTTTTATATATGATATGAATAACCAATCAAAAGCTCAGAATGTCCCCTAGTGGTTTTCTCAGCCATTTTTACACAAGATTTCACATGATAAGGTAAACTATTAGTGAGCTCAATTTTATATTTTTTTAGACCCAAATTTCATAAGGCTTAGCAGCCTACGACAAGCAGCAAATGAGTACAACGGTTGTAACTAGAAGAGATATTTGTTTGCTTTACTTTTTTATTTACTATTCTATGTTTTAAGAAAAAATATGTTTAAGAACTTATTTGTAAATAGTATTAATGTATAATAATTGAAATGTGACTGTATTTTACAAAATACTAGTCCACTAAAATACAGCTAAGACAGGTCATTATGTAAAGACTGAAGGCTAGTTTTATATTATTGGATATGGTATCACAGGTGCACGTGTGTTATGTCATTGTAACTTCTATATTGTTAGCCAGGTATGGCTTGAAGGTCAGTATAATAAAAATAATAAATATATAAATGTATAAAGTTATGAGATTTAAGCTATTTAAACTAAACATTTATGTTATAATCTGTAGTCATTCTAGAATGAAATAAGCATAATTTAAATTTATTTCCTAATTTTTTATGGTGGTTACAAGGCCAATGAAATTAACAGACCCCATATCGTTAGGGTAGATAAAATAACAGAAAAGATATAAAGATTTACTGAAAACAAATGTTTGAAATGTATTTAGGAGGTTTTAGAGAATATACAAATAATATTTGAGATTTTTGGGACGAACAATAGTTTTTTTAGTTATAACATGAAAATCGTTTTGTACTTGGACTGGTAACGAAACAGACTCGATATTTTCACAAACAACTCTGTAATAAAAAAAACTTAATTAAAAAATATGATTTTTTTTTGTCTACGAAAGACTTGTAATCTTTAATAAAAGTCTACCAAATTTTGTGAACATACACTTACTGCATTAAAAGTTATAGTATAAATACTTAACTCGTGTATATTATACCAAACCTGTCACGAAAGGGTTAAAATGATATTTTTGTAAGCCTTTTTTTTTTTCTGATTTTGTTTTATATTTACCACTCATTTTCAATTTCTGTCCACTGGGGTAGTTCACATTTGGTTTCCTTACTAAACCATTCTTGGGTGTTGTTCTCTTAATTATTTGCTGTTATAACAGTTTTAATAAACTATCCATTTTATTTTTCATGCCAATGATATATGTTTTCTATTATAGATATAAAAGGATTAAAAATGTACCTAAACCACATTTTATATTTAACAAGTTATTTTTGAACTCTTGAGATAAAAAAACAAAACAAGGAAAAACAAACTGATTCCAAAATACATTATTATAGGGTTAGTAAGTAGAAAAACTATGCAGCCAACTTTCAAAATTAAATGAAATATAAGATTAATTTCTTCCAATATATGTGGAACTACTAAAACATTTAGAATTTGTAGGGAAACAAATATTGAGAAACATGATCAGAATTATTATTTTTTAGTTATTGGCAGTTCATTTATTTTTTATGATTTCTGTATTTTAGTGTATAATTTTTAGAATTGACTATAGGTTTTTCTTATTCTTTTTGAAAAATATATCTGATGTTCTAGGCTAGAATAGAAGCAGAAGAAGCAATACAGGCTGAAAGTCAGAGGAGACATATGCTTGAAGAAGAGCAGAGAAAACTAGAAAAACAGCTAGAAGAGGAACGCCAAGCTAAAAGAGATGAGGAAATTGTTCGGAACCTTCTGTCTAAGTGAGGAATTATTATTTATCAGTCTAATATATATATTTTTTATGCAAAAATTCTTTGAAACAATTTTTATATTTATATTTTGTAAGATTGAACAAAACTTCTAAGTTAGAAAATAGGATGAATAAAAAGGTGCAAACTGTCAGGGTTTTTATAAACTTTGAATTTAATGGATTAAAAATTCAAATTCAAATGACAAACCAATGTTTCTGTTGAATCAAAATATTTTTTGTGGAAGGTTTGACAAAAAACAAAGCAACATGCTTCTAAAATACAGTAGTTATAAAAGCCTTTTTTAGACTCTTGAGTGTTTAAACATTTCGTGTAATTATTTTATTTTTAACAAGAAGAAAGAATATGTTCTGTATTTTATTTTTATTTTGCATACACTTTTTATATTATGCAGTATCTTTTGAAAAAATAATTATTTTGCTGGTTTATAGATATGTTAAAAAGTAAAGGGTGTTTAGTTAAGGTATAGATAAATTCAGATAGTAGAGAGTGTTTAGTTAGTTTATAACTAAGAACAGAAAGTAGGGATGTTTAGTTAGGTTACAACTAAGAACAGAAAGTAGGAATGTTTAGTGAGGATATAAATAACTTCAAAAAGTGGGGTGTTTTTAATTGCACTGTAGATAAGATCAGAAAATAATGAATGTTTATCTGGCTTGTGAATAAGTTTACTTTGATAAATCTCTATGAGTGTAAACTGTTTAAACTGTTTAAAATTTGTTAGCTTTAAAATTAAGTGATATGACTTTTAATATATTTTGAAGGAGTCTAATGGAAGAATGGGAACATAGAGAAAGACTGGAAAGACTTAAGGCAGAGAAAGAGAAGCGTCTTGCTGAGGAGCAGAAACGACGATTAGAGTTAGAAACTTGGCAAAAAAAAAAGAGGATGAAAATGAACAGTTTGTTAAAAGATTAAGTAACTTGGAAACAGAAAAACTTGAGCTTCATTCTACATTACAGGTAATAAGAAAATGTTGTCCTTAACATATTAGCTTAGCTATAGTGGTACAAAAAAGTGAGTTAAATTGTAGGGGCTTTAGAAAACATGCTTAGAATCAGCTAGCACTCTACTCTGTTTCTTGCAATTATAATAAGAGAATTTAGCTTTATCAGAAAGAATTGTTCCTATGGCCATTATTTTTTTCCTTTTCATAAGTTTGTGAAAAAATATTACAGTACAATAATTCTACATACAATGATCAAAGTCTGTGTTCTGTTCTTTCTACACAATTGACAATGTAGTGGCAGTGCACTTATCTTCTGTCACATCTTCAGTTGTGAAAATGTAAAGAAAGAAAAGGACATTAACTTTGATTGTTGAATATGAGGTGCAGAACCTTGGGTTAACTTCTCAAAGTTTGTATACAGATATAATAATGAATCGGTAAGTTATATAAAATTTCTGACAGATTTTGTCCACCATAAATTCATCCAACAAGACATTCACAATAAAAAATTTGCTTAGTTAATTTTACCAGCGTACTCATATGAACCTGTAAAGAACCATATACTAAATAAATTCAGTTGTCAACTGTGATGTTGTATAATGCTGATTTTAAGGAATTCTGTGTTGTGATTACTGAGGCTTTTTACCATCAAAAATAAAATTGTTTATAAACAAATCAAATATATTATCTGTTCATGAAATCTTACATGAGGTACAAGAACTTCAGTAAGTTTGTTCTGATTGCTTGTCTTATAAGAAAGTGGAATTTAATGCTGGCTAAATAACAAAACAATCACTTTTGTGTTACAAACCACCAGTCATATAGAATTGATAATGATAAGCATGATGTTTGATGTGATTTTTTAATCATTTGCATTTTCTTATTTTTTCATGAAGCAGAGTAGACATTGATTGTTAAAGATTTTTGTTTCTTTTACACTATGCATGTTTTTGATTTTACCAAAGTTTTAATGTGATTTCATTTAAATCCGTCAGACTTTATTCTTTGAAATAGCATTCCATGTTTTTGATATTTAATACTTGATTTTTCTGAGAAAGCAGACAAAGACAAGGACAATGCAATGGCATAAAAGGTTCTATCTAGACCTTGTAACAGTTTAAATAAAACTGGTTTGGTAATAAATTTACAAATATAAATAATAAATATACTGACACAGTATGTGGAACCCCAGAGCCACTGGCTGGATTCCTGTTTTCCTATTAACTTGCATTAAGTCGTGGGAGG